AATTGTTAGTGGTGTGTTTGTTGCTGGTTTTTCAATGACCATTTTATCTATCAGTGGTTGGGAAGGGGGGGGGGGGGCTTGGGGCTTTGGATAGTGTAGTTTTCTTTCAACTGGATGACACAGTGAAATTATCTCCAACAATTTTAGGGCAGTGGCATGATGTACTTACTTAATATTATCTATTTAATATATTCTGTCTAAGAATCTTTTATCGTGTTCGATTTATTTTTTTTATGCCACATTTTGTGCATATGCCCACCGTGATCAAATGTATCTCAGTATTTTAGTCTCACTATGATTTTGAACTATGGAATTCTTTAAAAACGTCTGAATACCCCGTAGTCTTACATTATTGCCTTCTTCTTGAACAATCTAAGCTGCCTCTATTGTGACTTGAGTGAAATGATTGTGACCCCTAAATATGATTCCCAGTTGTATACTTTTATCTGGAAAGTGAGAGGAAATCATTCTCAAAAAGAATCTCACCTTTTCTTTTGAAGATTATGGACTTTCTCTTAGAACAATGGAGGATACTGTTTCAAAGTTTAGTTCCAATGATGACATTGTGCAACAAGCAAAGACAGACAATCCTTGTTTATTAAGGTAAGTAATTTGAATTGTAGTGTAATATGTCAGAATGCCAAATTCCTTTAAAAAAATTCCAACTTGAACATGTTTTGTCCAGAAATTTTCCCTGTTTTCACTCTCTTAGTATTCACCTCTGTTCTCAACCCTCAATCACTGTGAATCCTTCTATATCCACATTTGTGTGGAAGGATACAGACAATTTCTCCTCTGATTTTGAACTAGGATATCCCCATATCATGCCCAAAAACTAGGCATGTGACCAGAGAATCAATTTATAGGTAACAATAACTTTTTTTTTGTCTGCCCAACACGAACATTGTTATGGTAAAAGGGCAATATGAAAACTATTCTGATCGGAATTCTACATTGCTCCATTGACAAACTTGCTAACGGCTGGAACAATTCACAATAATCAATCTATAGGAACATGATCCAATTTTGGATAAAATACCATACATGTTTGCAAATCATTCGATCCTGTCCCCAACAAAATCAAAAACATTTGTGCGTATATTATTTCAAACAGATATAACCCCCTTGCCTGTTAACCACCCCACCCCACTCTGTAAACAACAGAAATGGAAAAAATTTGCACTAACCGAGTCCAAGTAGTTGGTATTAAGGTCTGTTGAGCTGGAGTTTCAGTACTTGTCTTGTGTGAACCAAATTACCCACACTTACAGAATGTGATGAAGCTGCAAAAATTTCAGATAACATGGAAGTCCCACATACTTTGTTGCAGACTTCTACTTCACAATCCAAACAAAAAAAAAAACCAGGAAATTTCACTTCCATGTAGAGAATTTTTGTGTCGCACCAATGAAAAGTGCAGTTTTTCTTGAGCTATTTGTTTGAAGTGATCGACACAGTCCCACACTACTTAATTCCATCTCTTCAATCAACTCAGACAATCTGCATCCATCAAAATAATGGTGTATAATTATGTGATAAAATCACTGAACAGATCATATATGAAGGTGGACATAGTGTTACCTTCTCTCTCTTCATTTCTTGCGATCAAGCCAAAGGACCAGCATCCATGTTCCTCAGACAGAGTTCAATGGACCTCAGATCACCAAGATGTTGCATAACTTCTTGTAGAAGTTCCATTCCCTTACAGTCCTTTAAAAACTCACTATCTTTTTCAAGAGCTTGTAGCCTGTCATAGACACGATCAACCTCCTCTTCAATGGCAATTTTCTTGTTCTCCAATTCAGTTCCATCATCCAAGGGTAGTTGCATCCCAGTTGAATGTGATTTAACCTCCTCTTCATATTGCAGTTCTCCTTCTTTGGATTTTATGGCAGTTTCATTGAACAGAGAAAGGAGTCTCTTTGCCTTGGAATATCCAGGATAATGTGTTTCATGGATATCCTTAGAGATCACCTGTGAAACCTCATTTTCTTGTGCATTCCTTGAACCATAATTCTCATCAAATTTTTTCCCATAATCATCAGTGAAATGCTCAATTGGGCTTACATCCTCAAACAACTGCTGTTCATCATCAGCCAACTCGAAAAGCCTCTCCTCCAATGCCTTAAGCTCCTCCAGGATGGACATCCTTTCTTCCTCGAATTCAGCTAGCGATTCATCGAGTGTGCTCAAATGCTTCATGCACTCTAGTCCCATCTCTTCCAAATCTATTACAGCATCAGCAGGAGTGTTATGAATTGTTTCTTCATGGTCAGAGAAGCTATTATCTTCATCCCTCACTTCACGATTAAGATCAATGGATAGCTCATCATTGTCATCAGCACAGCTGGAAGAAGCAGGAGAGTACCTAATTCTTGCACTTCCATCTTCGCTTCTCACCATCATCAACTTTTCTTTTGCTTCATATTCTAAAACTTTCTTACAGTACATTTCCAGTTCTTTCTCGAGGTCTTGCTTCTCCTTTTCTCTCTTTATCATGAGTTCGTTTAAAAGCTGCAAGGCTTCCTGGTCGTACTCTGTTTGTTCTTCCATCATTCTCTGGTATTGCAATGCTTCCATATGCATTGCAGCCTTCTCTTCTTGAAGCCTCGTTATCATAGCCATCGTTTGGTTGGTTGCTATGGCTGAAGCATTCCTCTCTTCTTCTAGTTCTGCATATAAAGCACTTAGAGCCTTGCGTTGAGCTTTTAAAGCTGATATCAACTTTTCAATGGTCATAAGTCCATCATCTCCTTCTATTTCACTTATCACACTTCCATCCCAAGAATCCTCTGTCCCCGGTTCCCTTTTCTCAATTAGTAGCAGTTTCTTATGCAGCTGCTGGACATTATCCATGTAAGTGGATGCTAGCGGAAATTTCTCTTCATCCACTTCTTTCAATTCTGTATGTGCCAATAAATCATGGTAATTTATATATTCGTAGTTATTAACAACTAAACAAGTTCATTTTTGTATGGTGGCTTTCTCTAATCGCTTTAGTCCTTTCAAACACAAAACTTTAATTGTTAGAACCCTTTCTTAATCTCAAATTACGACTCAAATGAGATTAGTATGGTTTCTGATTAGTAGAGGAGTAATATGGATAATGCTTACCTTGGTCTTTCTCAATTACAAATGCATTAAGGCCAGTAGAAATTCTAATGCTCTCTTTATCTGCAGAAGATTGATCTACTTGTTTGCATGGAGATGTAGAAGTTGGTTCTTTAGCTTGACTGTGATCATCTGGCTCATAGCCTGACACTTCTGTGCCTATCATGATGTCAAATTTGGTTTCGTTTCCTGACAACTGACAACTACCTTCTTCCTCATCAGCTGCTTATAATCAAGAAATTGTGGAATCAGCTAATAGCCAACAGAAATTTAGAGTGAATTTCTTGAGAACAGAACATATACTACAATGTTTTTCTGAATAGAGAGTAATGCAATACCTTGACAATTATCAGGTTCTTTGATGGTTGCTGCTTCAAAATCTTTATCATCAATGCTTGGGGTTTGAGTTGCCTGGCTAGCAACATAGTGTCCACAAGTCTCAACAACTAAACCTTGAATCACTTGTTCAACCATTTGACTTGAAGAGTTCTCAATCTCACCAATCTCCAAGCTTTCCAGGACTCCACACCTTCTTGTCACTTCACTCTCATTCATCATTCGCAAAGCCGCCTCTTTTGAGACATTTTTAGCCTTTTCAGTTAATTCGCCTTCTGTTTCAATCCCTGTCACAGAATCATAATTTTCATCCTTATCTTCCCCTCTATGTATGTATGATCTTTGGCTTGCAATGGTTACAGAATCAATCAATTCAACCGGGACTAAGCAATCAAAATTGCGGTAGTCACTGTTCTTCAAAGGCAGATTCTTGATTCTGGGTAATTCATAATCTTCGTTACATNTGTATGATCTTTGGCTTGCAATGGTTACAGAATCAATCAATTCAACCGGGACTAAGCGATCAAAATTGCGGTTGTCACTGTTCTTCAAAGGCAGATTCTTGATTCTGGGTAATTCATAATCTTCGTTACACATCTTCCGGGTGCCATCAGCAGAAGATAGATGAATAATGTAATCTGCAAGACTGGATTGTTTCTCTTGAGCTTCAAGAACACCTTCCTTGTCACATTCAACTGAACAATCCTCCTCTACGCCTCCAAAATTTAAAGTTTCACCATCATAAAGTAACTGATGTTCATCTCCCTCCACTTCAACATCATCATCATCATCATCATCTCTCTTTTCTTCAATCTCTCGGTCATTGTTGCAGTGATCTTCCATACACTCAGATTTACTGTTGTCTGAGTTCTCACTTCCATTGTGATATTCCAATGCTTTTGTAATCAAACGCTCTTTCTGGATATAGTCCAAAACACCCCAAGAAGGCTTCAACAACAGGAAAGGAGGGTAGAGTTTGCTGCTCAAACTCTCATCACAGCAGGAACACCGATGATTCTTCTCATCATTTTCAGATATATTCTTACTCACGCAAGTAAAGAAAGTAATTTGTGAGACGCCAAGTGAATTTGCATTGTAAACTGGTTGAGAAGAAGAGCAATTTCTGCACAAATTTTGCGATTCAGACAACTTTTTGTGATTAGAACAGTAACTCAATTTGGAAATCTCCGTGGCGTGTGCCTCGCATAGAAGATCTCTATATGTTTTCGTGTTCTTGTTGGGCTCCAAGATGTGATCAACTCTAGAACACCAAATGCAGGGCTTTTTGAGGCCAAAGTATTTGGCGAATTTCACGATCAGATAAGAAAACAAAGAGTTGAGGAGGAGGAGAAGTATCATAATCCATTCAAGGACTGCAAAGATTAGAATTACAGTGAGTTTGTGGGTGTGTCTGTGTAACATATTTGCAATCTTGTTGGCAGCCATGGATGTTGCTAGGCTTTCTTAGACGTAAGAGCAGAGAGAGAGAGAGAGAGAGAGAGGGGAGGAAGAGAATGTTTTCCTGCAACTTTTGTTGAACTGTAATGTGTATCAGTAAAAAAGAAACGGAGATCAGAAAGGCACAAAATGAGAGTGAATGATATAAAAATCTCAATCTAGTGCGGTGACAGGGTCCCACAAAGTTAAAGATCAAATACATACTGTCTCATCTTGCATATTTTCGCATTTTGACATACAAAAAAATAAAAAATAAATTAGTTGATACGGAAAAATCACGAGACAATTCCGTGGCACAAATTGGTCATTTGCAGTAATTCTTTTTTTTTTAATTTTTTTTTAACTAATGTGAATACCATAAAGTTATATATACATATTGTGTTCACTCTTTAGAGTAGGGTGAGCAGTACAGCTGCCTTCCGAACCTTTGTTTAGAAGGATTGGTTAAAACCCATCAGACAATCTAGCAGCTAGGAGCTTTCCAAACTTTCACAATGAGAGCCAGGGAAAAACTACAAAAGTTATGAATGTTATTATAATGAGAAACTTCCCAGTTCAAGTCAATTCTTTAAGGCTTGTTTGGTACGTGAGTTTGAGGGATTTTGGAACATAACACGGAGGATAAAATCTCTTAAACTCATGTTTGATAAATATACATTTAACCCAAAGTTTAAAACTCAGTCCGATTTAAGCTCGATCATAAAACTCAAGTTTATGAGTTTCATGAAACCCATGGGGGGCGGGTTTTTTATGTGGGTTAATGGGTTTAATATTCAAATGACATTTATACCCTTTATATAATCTCAACCACTGAATAGGTAGTGGTTCATAATAAATGTTGAGATTTATAGTGAAATCAATAGTTGTAATTATCAAGTCTACCTTTTCCAGTACATGTAGCATTATTTTATTAGAATTGATAAATAATTTCGTTTTATACTTATATTAAAATCTAAGAACCGCAGATATGGATACAAATATTGGATACAGGTACATCACGATATAGATACGACAACTAAAATACCTCTCTCTCTCTGTATATATATATATTAAAATGTTATTATAGCACAATGAATACTAGGGATTAAAAAATAATAAACATCAAAACTAATATAATTTATGTTATTGACATAGTACTACTTAATGGTGTTTTCAATTTAAGATTTTATGTAATTCTAAAGGAAGACGTGTCACCCTTACAGTGTTCTCAATAGACTTAATTGCAATTAAATGCAAATTGGCTTTTAATATTAAGTCATAAAAACTTATTATTTAACTTAACTAAATTGTAAAAAATTGACAAATCTTTTGATATATTTAATGCACGTCCAATCGAACATTTGGGAATGAGGATTTCCGTTTTTATGATTCATGGTTTCTAAACAACTCATCTTGCTAATTATAAGGTGAATGTATTCACCATGGAGATAAGTGAGTCCGAGGTGTCTTCGGAAAGTATCTAACAATGATAAATAATTTATTTTTTATTTGTTACGTGTGAAAAATATTTGATACGTATCTAAAAATATTCAAGAAATATCAATATCCAATACATAATGAATACAAATACGAATAGANGGCACAAAATGAGAGTGAATGATATAAAAATCTCAATCTAGTGCGGTGACAGGGTCCACAAAGGTAAAGATCAAATACATACAGTCTTATCTTGCATGTTTTTGCATTTTGACATACAAAAAAATAAAAAATAAATTAGTTGATACGGAAAAATCACAAGACAATTCCGTGGCACAAATTGGTCATTTGCAGTAATTCTTTTTTTTTAATTTTTTTTTAACTAATGTGAATACCATAAAGTTATATACACATATTGNCAATATCCAATACATAATGAATACAAATACGAATAGATCAGAAGTATTCGTACTTTAAAGTTAAAAACAAGTTGTGGTACGGATGATGAACCCCATTCATATAAATGAGTATATATAATGTTGATTTGTCTCTATTTTTTTCTATCAGCTTGCAACTGAGACGGCTTGAANGGGAAAAACTACAAAAGTTATGAATGTTATTATAATGAGAAACTTCCCAGTTCAAGTCTATTCTTTAAGGCTGGTTTGGTACGTGAGTTTGAGGGATTTTGGAACATAAGACGGAGGATAAAATCTCTTAAACTCATGTTTGATAAATATATATTTAACCCAAAGTTTAAAACTCAGAAGTATTCGTACTTTAAAGTTAAAAACAAGTTGTGGTACGGATGATGAACCCCATTCATATAAATGAGTATATATAATTTTGATTTGTCTCTATTTTTTTCTATCAGCTTGCAACTGAAACGGCTTGAGAACACACACTTTCAGCCACATTGAATTGAATCATAACACGCGCAAGCCTGGCCCGCCACCATTCACATTACGAGGTGATAACCCACGCATAAATTACACTCCGGGACCAACTGGGGATTACCTGTAAAAGAGGCACTCGTCTCTTTAATTAAGCTTTTGTTTTTTATAAAGGATTGCGATACAATTCTGTAGAGAGAATCTGTACAAGGCAGGCAGCACAGCATTAAAACTGTTGAAAGTGTAGATCTCGAATATTTGCAATCAGTGACTGACTATGATGATCAATCAAATTGTAAGTCATTAATGACAGTCGAGCCCATGACCTTCTTTTCCTTTCAAACAAAACAGAAGTAATGTTTTGGGATGTACTAATTGCACTATTTGAAAGTAACAAAGGGAGAGAGGGAGAGAGAATATTTTAAATAAATTGAGGAGCATTTCTATTCATATATAATTTGATCACTTGGAGATTTTTATATAGAAAAGTAGAAGAAAATGGTAGGGAATGATGAAACATAGCTGTCAACAATGGTGGAAAAGCTAGAAAAAAGGAAAAGGTTTGTTAGACCTCAAAAAGGGAAAACAACAAAGTGGATCAAATTAGGGGCTGTGATGGCGACTTGAGAGCCTTCATGTTTCATTCGAAACCATAAATTCATGTGGTGGGTCCAACTCCCTCCTTAATTGAGTTATTTGGATGGGATTGTATTTTTGGATCTAATTTTTATTTTTTTTAAAATGTTCTAATATGGATTATGAATCCAAAAGAAAATGTAAAATTTGCGGATCCAATCTTGAATCAAGTTTTTAATTTAGATTTAGATCGATCAAAATTCAACACGACGTGCCCAATGGTATGGAGGTTGTGCCCAATTTTCGAAGTCAATCGAGTTTCCCTTATGCTATAATTTTTCCCAATTTTTCCATAGGAGAAATCGAGTCAGCATCGTTTTGAACAAGCTCAATCAAGAAACAAATATGCATACCGGAAAATCCTTCGACGAATTCCCTGCGCAAATCCATTTGGCCATTCTAGCAAAGCCACCCTTATCAATGGGGCAAGAAGGTTATCAAGATGTGTGTTTGATCGACACGGCTTAAATTCAGTGTAGAGGCAATAACCAACTAGTTAAAAAAAATAGCACATTGCATGATGCTCCCACAACTACAGGGCTTAGGACTTGGGCGGGTTGGATGCACACAGCGTTACTCTCAAATGCAGAGACTGTTTCCTCACTCATCATAAAAATCTGCAGTAATCCGTGGACCATCGCTCAATCCATCACAAAAAGCTAAAAAACATTTATACAACATGATGTAAAATAGTAGAGAGTGGACATGGAACAAGAAAAAAAAAAAAAGATAACTAAAATTTTTATTGCATTCTTGAAAGATTATAGAAAAAAATCATTAAAAACTCAGTCATCATGACCAAAAAGTACAGAAACATTCCATGAAAACCGGGCACATCGACACTGTAAAATAACATACCGCAAAGTTTGGCTGCTGCGGCTCCTACTAAACAAGGAGATTCAATCAACGTTCCATTCCAAAAGGGACTCATCCTCGACCCATTTTTGTTAAGGGCCATCTATCTTGTCTACACCGGACATAATTTAAGCATGTATGATCTGTTGGAGAACCTCACCAGGAGAGGGCGCTACGAAAGTTTTAGGGTAAGTTAAAATAGACCAAAATTTTCCCCATGTCCCAAGATAGATATGCCAATGGCCACAGCAATGGTCACAAACATGATGTTTTTCATGCATCCATGGCCGTGTGATACTTGTCCCAGTATCACCTTGCAGTACTTTTGTCCATCCTTCAAGGTTGCTAATCGGGCAGCATCATTTTCACTAGCCATTTTCTTCTCATTCTACAGGATCATAAATATAAATTAACACAGATATTAAGAGTGGTTTTACTTACAGAGAAACATGATTGGGAGAACTGTGGAAAAGTTCAGCACCAAAAACGGGTGCACATTCAGCTTTCCACACATGACGTAATACATCATGCAAATATGACTCTTAGAGATCACAAGGAATTCAGCAATTGAAACTGTTTATAATATTAAGTGACAAGCAGCTTTCATCAATATCCAGGATCTCACACACACACTAGAGATCCCAGGAATTCAGTAATTGAATCTGTTATAATGTTAAGGGGCAAACAATATTCATCAACAACCTGAACACACACACACACACACAAGGTTAGGTTCTATTTTAGGAGATTAGTATGTGGGATGCATGTCAAAATAGATGCCAGAAGCCAGATTTTATCCTAACAGTTTCCTTTCTTTTCTTTTCTAGCAGTTTCCTTTCTTTTCTTTTATAGAAGTTTCCTTTCTTTTCTTTTCTAACAGTTTCCTTTCTTTCCTTTTTTTGGTTTGTGGTACAAAAACTGGAGCTTGAAATAAATTAAACCCGCTGCATTACCTCCATTTCATCTCCTCAGAGATAAAACATGAATCATATGCTTGTGAGATCGAAAATACTGCTTCACTAGTGCTCTCTATGAAATTTTAATTTTTCTGTTGAAAGAAAAAAAAATGGGAGTGTTTCATCACATTTGTCACATATTATTCCTTTGTTGTTCTTATATTATTCTCTAATTTATTAATATGTTTATTCCCAGGTAAGACAGATCTGCAAAAGCAATAACCTTTCTCATATAGAGTGCTCACAAGAATATGCTTACCTTCTCCTTGAAACTCTTTAATGTCATCTTCAAAGAGTCAATACTAAGATGCTTAGCAGAGTGCACCTTCCATTCGTCAGAGAGCTTTCTCAGAATAACAACACTTGCTTCAAGATTGTCCAAATAAATGCTATCCTGTTGCAAAATATATCAGGAAGAGAACAATAAGAGTTACTGAGGTGTTCAGAAGAAGGAGAAACATGACCTCCGATTGTAAAACACAAATGGCACAAAAGAATAATCAGCATTTAGAAGATCTCACCCATTGGTTGTAACAGTCCGGGTTCTGAGTCAAACACCAAATACATAAATCACTTGCTTCCCTGGATAAATCAGCTATACCTGCAGTCCGCATCATACATCAAGTACTAATATAAAATCAAATACCTAATTCCTTCTACTCCTGGGAAAAGAAAACAGCCACCAAAAAGCAGTCTATGCAAGTTGGTTCTGTACCTTCTCCAGCATCTCTGACAGAAAAGGGCATTATCTGCTGCGTAATTTGTTTCATGGCTTTGCTGCCAGAGGCTACAGCAAGAGCTACTGCTTTCAAGGTAGGATATACAGCTTCAAGCCTCTCAGTCGCCTGAACAAAACATACACCTCAAACGCTTCAGATCCCAACCTCTGATAAAATCACAGAAGCATGTCGAAGGAAAATATAGTGTTAGAATACCCACCTTGAGTCGGGCTGAAGGTGCTGGGAATGTGGCTCTCATTAGGAGCTCAAGAGCAGACGGAGGCACCAGCCGCTCCCCCTTTCTCACAGCACCATTTACTAGTATAGTCTGAGCTTTTGGTGAAGACATAATCCTGCAACAAGGAATGCAGAGAAAATGGTAAAAAGAATACTCAAATAAAGAAAAGTGGTAGCTAATATAATTGCGACTCATATCCAACCTCTCGATCAACTGCAAAATCAAGTCTCTGGACTGTGGATTACAACTAGATTTACTGGTCAGCATCGGGAAGAGGTAGTGTACCCACATGAACAAACCAACTACCAAGTCCCCTTCGCAGGCCTACACAATTCCAATCTCACTGTTTAAAATCAATGATCTTTATCTTCTGTAAAACCGTCATCTGCACTGAAGCATTTGTGTATTCATGTTATCAACATATACCTGAATGATCACCCATACTATGACTGGAAGCTTGTCTTGTCCCTGATATTTTGAATTATCCTTTATTATAGGCAATAGACTGATCAATATATCAGGCTTGCGTCGCAATACCATAGCCAAAGCCACAAATATGGCAACCTGCAGACCCACCGTTCTATCAATGGATACATCAGATATTGTGATAGTTTTGTAAGTAACGAGAATGAGGGTAAAACTTGTTTTATTAATTGGAATAAAAAACACAATAATCTATATGCAAGCTTCGAAGTTTATATGGACTAGGTTTTTAGATTCCATTTCCACCTCTGATGATATGTTCCACCACCAATAGCATGATTTTCTGCCTTCTGCAATTTTAGATCCAATAATTATTCTGAAATTGTGATGGGATATTTTTACGTTTTTTCTTCCTTATTCCATTCCTTCCAACTTGCCCTGTCCACGCCCATGTCCCAAACCCTTGTCTAAGAATAGGATTTATTGAAATTTGAGATTGTATTCCAACACATAACGATTCAACTGCAAGATCAAACGTGATCCGAGAATTTGGTTCCAAATATGAAATGCAATACTTGATTATAACCACAATAAATTGAGGTAGATTGAGTCTAATTAAGGTCTGAATCCGGATAAAATATCTAATGATTTCGCTATATTTGTACAAACGTGTTTTCTCAAGATGCTACATAAATTTATCTAACAAATTTTTAAAGTTGATTTAAACTCAAAAATCTGTGAACACTTTATGTATATTTGGATTCAGAACCAGAATTTCTGAGTTGTCCAGTTCAAACTAAATAGATGAATCCATCAAATTTGTACCCATATTTCGGACCAGAATATATGCATCCATCAAATTTGAATCGACATTTCGGACCTCTGTGTAAATAATTTGATTGAGATTTCATATGATTCTACAATGAGTCAAGCCTACTCGTGGCTTTAAATGTGTCGTCACACAGCTAGTCAGCAGGAAAGAGAAAAATCTATGTAACACAACTCGCAATTAAGCAAGGTTTTGATATGTAACAGAACTAAGGAAAATTTCATCACAAAGTAAAGGGACTAGTCACAGTTAAGGAATCTCTCATGGGGTCTCAAATGATAATTTTTTTATTCTTTTTTCCCAGCCCCACCAAACAGGAGAGTGCAACCCATGAGGCTTTGCATATTACAAAGACAAAGGCTAAGGGGAAAGAAATAAGAAGATATTACAAATGTGAAAGGAAAATGAAAGCACACAGGGGTTAGGACAAAAGTGCATGCCAAATCTAGCTTTCCAGATCATCCCACCCTGGAATCCATCTTCGCGATCTTTACATGCATTTGAAGTGTATCCCACTACACCACACTGCCACTACATGCATCTAATTTCATGCAAACAAAGCTTATTTACATCACAATCGTCTTTGATTAAGCTTTATTCAAAAAATTTCCATAGTACTTCGATTGCTCTTTATTACACTCCACTTATTCCATACTTTCAGCCATCGAGTGTCCAATCACAATAGTTCGGTCTTGTAAACCCATAATCTCCTCCTGATTCACATATCGCAATGCATTCCTGAACTGACAAATGCCATTGAACTAGCTAAAATATTGGAGCTATTGAATATCACAAATATCTCAATATGATATCAACCTATAATAGTGTTTTCAACACTAATTTACCAAGCTCATATATTGCCTGATACAAAACGACTGTTAATAAGTACTTCCCACATTAAGCACTAAAAATTTTCAGAAGAAAATCATATTCCAGGTTTCACTTTTAAGCTTGGTGGTATCCCTGTTCCAGAAGTTTTTGACTTATCGACAAAGGCAATGTTGCTTCTGACAAATCATGCCCATGCAAGATCATGACACTTATCCGACCAAAACATTCATGTTCAAAGCTTGAGTTATAAATGTCTTTACTGCTTTCTAGTTTGAATCTACTCACGTGACAAGCTAATTATTCCTCATTTCTTTAGAAACTGACAAACCAATGAAAATGTTACAAACTAAGCAGAGCATTGAATGCTCAAATGAAATTTCTTTACATGCCAAAAATCAAAATTTACCTGAGATTTTGAAGATACTTGCTGAACCACTTTTTTTGATCCCTTGATAGCTCCTTGATGAAGAGCCAGGTCAGCAAGAATGCTATCCAAAGACCACAAAACAAAGGAACCAAGTGCTTCAAAAGATCGCTGGTTTAGCCAGTCAACTGTTGTCTTATATACAGCTTCAGATATATGCGAAAGTGGAATCTGTTTCAGAGCACATAATTATTCAACTACAAGAACTACATGAAATCTTTCCATTTTGATTTCCTGATTGCAACCAAAAAAAAAAAAGATGAACTAATTAAGAACGTAAACAAGTCAACAAACAATAAGATGATCTGATCTGACATATGACATGGGGAACAATGCAAGTGAAATTTGGACTTTGGAGTAAATCCAGGAAAGGGCATTTAAGAAATTACTCAATCAAAACATACATCTAATTTCAGATCTTTTACGTCACCAGATAGGGTGAAAAAATAAAGTCAAATGCAAGATGATAAACTCAACAAGACATATAAGCATGCACAAATCATACAATATTTTTTGATTCGTTTCATTACATAACACCTCTTGCATGAAGGAATTTACATCTGGGATATAAACATTTTCCGGCAAAAAGGTGAGACCCTCAAAGGTATCCGCCATAAATTCTGTTCCTCTCCAAGATTCTCGATCAAAATCGTTAAAAAAAGGGCCCCTTTACAAGCTTTTACATCAAATTAAGCAAATTGAAATAACTCTTAAGAGAAAAAGACTCACATCAACCATCTTCGCAACAGAAGACTCCTTGAGTATCTTCATCCAAGGGAACTGAGACGCATTCACCTTAGCAAATGCGCGCCCGAAATAATCCGCAAATCGCATTAGCTGTATATCCTGCTGTGTTTCATACGAAGCCTACAGAAAAAAAAAACACCGGATCTGAATATGATATTAACACAACTAAAAACACAAAATTCAATTCAAACAGCAGATCATAGTCAATTAAATCAAATAAAACCAAACTTACAGTTATATCAACCAGGAAAGCACTGAGATCAGAGGAATCCATATTCGCCGCAGCCTCGGCGACCGAAACCTTCGGTTTCTTCGGCTTCTTCGGCTTACTCTTCTTCTCCTCTACGCCTCCATTCGCCACAACACCACCGGAAACCTCACCGTCCAGATCGCTACAGTCCTCACCGTCATTCACCACAGCATAATTGTCTCCTGCAGCAGCCATGGCAGCTCTCTGAGCTTCCAAACGCCGGCGACGCTCCTCCAAATGCTGCTCGATAGACCGGAAAACGTCACCGGAAGAACCAAATCCCGTACTATTCGAAAAATTCTCCGGCGTCGGCTTAACCGGCTGTTTTCGGTTTTTCTTCTGGTATGAAACCGTTTTCCATCCGTGATCACCGTTTTGATCCGATACGAAACCGTTTTCGTCTCCGCTCAGAATCGCTTCAATTGTTTTAGCATTCCCATCCATAATTTCAATTCTCTCAACAATTTCTCTCTGTGAATTCTCTCTCTCTCTCTATCTATCTCTTTCTCTCTCTGTGCTGAACCAGTTTTTCAGTGTGGACTCGACGACGACGATGAGAGATCGTGGAGAGAGGATACATAAAGGGGTTGGCGAGGAGGAGGCGGGTCGGGTTGGGGAAGGATAGTACGGACTGAGAGAGAGAGACTAATGTGGATTTACTCCCAACTAATTTGTTTTTCGTATACGTTTTTTGACCTTGAATTGGGACTCGAATTGCATGAGTGCCATCGACCGTTTGATGTTAGGATTAGGCTGTTGGGGGTTGCTCCTGAGGGGGCATTTCCATGATAACACAATGTACCGATCAATGCCTACTACGCCAATGGAAATACTGGCACAAATAATGGGCTACAAAACTTCCACATTATTATTTTAACATGCATGGGAAATTATAAAAACATATTTGTACACATAGAGAGAGAGGGTGAGTGAGTGATTGAGTGTGCGTGTATGCGTGCAAGAAAAATTTTAAATAACGAGCAATTAAAGAGTTGAACATTAACAAATATATTTTTATTCTTGACGTATATATATAATAATAGATAGATATATACAGCCAAACGATGACAAGAATAGATATCAAATTAACCAGTTAAACAAAAAATTCATAAGCTTGTCTCAGAGTGTGAATATTTAGCAATATAAGAAGATTAATTTTTAAGCTAAGATTGATTTTTAAGCTAAGTAAGATTGCAAAATAAGAAGTGTGAAAGCATTGTTGCAAGGGGAACTACTAGTCATAGCAATATCCATACGTGCTATATGCATGTTCATTAGATGTTAGAGGATTTTGAGATCAAACCTTATAAGCATACTTTTGTTTCTCATTTAAGTCATGGAGCCAATGTAGATGGTAATCGCTATAAATAGAAAATTGGACATATTTTATCAAAAGTAGACACAATATTGGAGTTTTGCTCGTCCCTTCTACCTCCCCAAACTAACTTAGGTTAAAGATGATTCTTTGTTGGTTTCTTAATATGTATTTTTGTCACGATCGAAAGAAAATGAGTTTTTTTCATCAATTCTTCCTGAGAGAGAGAGTTAAAAATGGTGGACATTGGTTGTTTGTGTACAAAAGATGCCGACCCCTATCTGCCTTAGAGAGAATGGAGGTGCATGTCGCAACAGGATGACAGGGGGACTAAGTGTGCAACACCGCTCCATGCAGCTGGAGCCCAAGGGTATAAGGGACAAAGAGTAAGCCAACGATAGTGAAGGACTCCATATGGCTTTGGGGATAAAATAGCTTTCTTGGAGCATTTGTGAAAAAAAAAAAATCAAGAAGAGACTCAAAGCATGTTCAAAGAACATAATTAGGGTTTGAACTTAAATTCTCTAGATGGAGGGTGATTAGAATAAATGATATGCAAAAGTGACATGCTTTACATGTTCAATCTCAGGTGGATCATGCCCATACATTTTCGCTCTGAAAATGTTTAGGGTTGGCTATGTTCCTTGGATATGTTATGTGAGCCTTCAGATGCATCTAAGAAAGAGAAGGTATTTGAAGTGAATGTCATAGGCCATTCCCATGCTTTGTGACAACGACTACACCTTGGAACTAAAGGGGCCATCCCCTATTGCGTATAGTATGGCATAGTCGCCTTCTAAAATCCCTGCTAGTATATTGAGCTTTTCTTCTCATCAAATCACCATCGAAAAGAGGGGTTGATCTTCATCCTAAAAGTATCCCAATTTGGGTGCCACATAAATCTATAAATCTTCTTCTTCTTTTTTTCTTAAAATGGTGATGATTGGAACTTCTTCGTACGATGTCAATTTCCAAAGGCGTTCAAGATAGCTTAGAGCTTTCATATACGAGTTGATGATCCACACACACCCCCCCTAAATGTTTGTCATAAAGAAGGTTCTTCAGTCTCCATTAGCTTAAAGCTTGTCAAACCATGATAATGTTCTTCAATTTGCATTCATCTAACAATGAAAAAACTGCAGAGTGTCAAACAATTCTTCCTTAATCAAAATTAAAACTTGCATTTTCAAATAGTTTACCTGCTTACATATGATGAATGTTTATCAGATAAACCCAACATATAAAAGTACTCAAGACTTTGGTGAAGAAACCAAGGTTAGAAAACCAGGGTAAAAGGCATAGATGTCGCCGAAAAGAGAAGTCTTTTATCAGGTTGATTTAGAGTTGTAGATTTATCAAATCCGCTATTGTAGAAAAGGTAAGTCTGACATAGTGAAAGTCTGCAAATATAACGTACTCATACATAAATATTAATTGTGTGGAGATATTATTCTGGAAAGTATAATATAAAATTACCCTTTACACTCTTTTGTTACGAGTTAGTCAAAGCTAAGCTTGGCAATGTTCTGATTCAGTTCATTACAAAACAAGATCGATATATTAGACTCGAGTATGAGTCTCTTATTATATAAACAGATTAAATAATTCTCTAAAACTAAATTCAATTAGAATGATGATAATGCCCAATGATTGTTCAACTCTATGTTACCAACATACTTTCACAGATATTGTTGATAATGTATTTCTCACAAATGGGTGATTTCTTTATGGCCATCATAGTAAGACCACGCACTATATGACTTGAATAGGGGATTGACTAATAATCTTCCTTGCACAAACAATACACAAAAAGAAGTCAAACAGTCAAGAATGGTTGCTTTCAAGATCCGTGGCTTTTTTTGTAATTTCAAGTGGATAGATGGGCAACATAGGAACAAGAGTTCAATGGACAAAAAAAAAGGACTTTTTCAGTTTCATGAGGGGCCCACAACAAATGACCTTTGGTGTTGGATTATTGTAATCTGCTTTTAGGTACAAAGGATTTGTTGTAATCTGCATTAAAGAGTTTGAATCTCATGCCATCCACAAAAACCGCCCATTAAAACACCTCATTAATTACTAACCTTATATGGCTACCAATTTTATTATTTTTATTTTTAACTTCCATAGATTTTTTTTTCTTCAAATTAGATAAGGATTAACATGAATTGAGATTCACTGCATTATATTTTCTTAATTCCGAGCGATCTATTCTGTATTAGTGGAGAAAATATTTATTATAACGGTGATATTAATGCTTCGTTTGGTAGGAAGGATGAAAAATAGGAATGATGAAAAATATGAGGGATACATTTTTTATCCTTCAAAGATGTAAAATAGGAATGATACACTTTTCTATTTTTGTGTTTGGTTGGATGGATAAAAAATAAAAATGACTAATTTTTTTTGTTTTTTGGTGCTAGTTAAGATTAAGAGAGACAATCGAGTCGTGTCGTATCAGATTCGTGTTGAGTCATACAATTATAAGCCTTTTATATTTTTTGTTCGCGTTTTAGGTCATTTTTAAATTCGTGTCGAGTTATAATCAAATTCGTGTCATAAAATTTGTGTCGAGTTCGAGTCGTGTCATCGTGTTGAATTAAAAATTTTCACTCCTAGTTAAGATAAAAAAATATTTTTTTAATTTTAATTTTAATTTTAATTTTTAATTTTTAAATTTTATATATATATATATATATATATATATATATATATATATATATATATATATTTCATCATTGTATTTTTATATGAAATTAATGATTACATAATATATAAACAAATAAGATATATCTCAACACAAATAATTAACTTTTCATCTACTTTCCTTCCAATTTTGGAAGAATTGATTTTAGTGAGTTGGAAGAAAAGTTAATTCATTAACTTTTCCATTCTTCCGTACCAAATATGATATTTTATTTATCCCTCCAATTTTTAATCCTTCAAACTTTTTATCATACCAAACAAAAAATAAGTGATAATACTGACGTGATATCACAAATTAATAATATAAAAACAAATAAATAAAGGGATCTCACTAAAATTAATAATCAACCCTATATGTAATCAAATAATTACACATTCTTCCTCCATGTAAGAAATATAACTATTTAAGTGAGATTCACTTTGTGTTTTATCATGGATCGATGGTATCATGGTTGCATTCAATTTTTACTCGTATTAGTGAGAGATTTTGGAGGATTTACTTGAATTTTGTATTGAGTAGTAAGGGTGTCCAAGGGCCAGGTGGGGCTAGGTTTGCAAATTTTTTTTTCTAGTAGGGTCTGGGTTAGAGATGGCAATGGACCGAGAGAAAACGGGTATTCATCCAAACCCACTTAGTTTGGACCGAGGATGGACGGAGATATCTGTATAAACCCGTACGGGGATGAACTTACCCTTATCTCTGCCCCGCCCCCTCCCCCTCCCCCGCCCTTGCATATATATATATATACTCTCAAGCCCTAACTAAATATATTTATTGTAACTACATATGGTAATCAAACTAACAAGTGACATTACTACGTGGTAATTTTATCAACTGTTTTCCTTGATTGTTCTTTTTTCTATTTGTGCTCACTGATTGAAACTGTTAAGAGTTTAGATTGACCGTACTCTAAAAACAAATAAGAGAGAGTAAGATAGTTTTGCAATTCATCGTGGGAAGAAAATATTGTTAATTGAGGTTGATGAGTTTTCTCTGCTAGAGTGAACTAAGAAATAGAGAGAATTATTGAATTGACAAAATTTTAATTTTTAATTTTTTAACATTTTATGGCTATAATATAAATTGTAATAACAAAAATTCTTCTAAGAAACTTCAAATATAATGCTTTCGTTTTCTTAATTTAATTTTATGTTCTTTTTCTTCCTTTCTCTATAATAGTTCCGTTTCTCTTTTTGTGGTCAAATGACACTTTAAATAGATTACTATATTATTTTAGCTTTTACATTTTGCAATCTATATTATGTTGTGTTAAATTAAGTTAGATTATTTAGAATGTTGTTGAATTATTTAAAATATTAAATTTATTTAAAATTATGAATTATGTTTTTTGGGCTTGGGCTTCGGCCTGGGCGGGTACAGGGGAAACGGGGACGGGGACCAGAAATTTATCCGTGGACGGGGATGAGGATGAAAACTATACCCGTTAATAAGGGTGGACCGAGGATGGACTAAATTTTTTTAAGCGGATACGGGGATGAAGACTACACTCCCCGCCCCCCGTTTCGGTCCACTGACATCCCTAGTCTGGATAGTATAAGTTCGAGCCTTTAGCCAAGTAAGTTATCGA